AAAAAAAAAAAGTTTTTTCCCCCTCACAGTTTGGGAGGTCAAGTTGTTGGGGCCAACCACCATTTATGATTGGGTACCTTGACAAGAAAAGCTTCACAGAAATGATGACTCTGAGGCCAGATTGAAGAGCATAGGGTGCAGTGGAGTGGGGGACAAGGAAATGACCATAGCACTTCTTCAATGAAACTCTAAAAAGGAAGGAAGATGAAACAGCCGATAGAGTGATTGGGTTAAGCGGTTATCATTATTTTTTTCCTTTTCAATGTGAGAAGCCCTTGTCTTCTGACCACCAGTCAGCATAAAGTGTCCTTTAGGAGGAGAGAAAGCAGTTTCAGGCCAGTGTGGAGATGCAGAGTTGACTGCAGGCATTTGCCTATAGTGACAGCCATGGGGGAAAGCTTCAGGGGCCGGAAGAGCAAGGAAATCTTTTTTAAAATAAGTATAGTTTTATTGTTACTATTAAGCTGCTATGCAGAGGGGTTACCATCTCCTAAGTCAGGCAATGATGTATTTTTTCTTTTGGACAGTGTCACCCTTTCTTTTGTTTCTCCCCCCCGACCCCCCCCCCAGCTTCCCCTTTCCATCCTGCCCACAAGTTACATATTGCATTTTCCACATAGTGTACACTGAGTAGCATGACTGCATTTTTTTACCCTTCCTCCCTCCCTTTCTGCATTCCCTTTGCCCCCACTAAAAAGACAAAACCAAACCAAACAGAGCAACCAAAAACCCAAAAAGCAAAAACACCCCACCCCCACAAGGAATCTTTTTAAGGAAAGAAAATAAATTTCCCCTGGTAAAAGAGGAATCGTGGAAGCATTTGGCATCATTTTGTTTGTTTTTGTTTCTAGACTAACTAGGTTTACTGACTCCAGCAAGCTCTTAAGGTGTTCTTTGGGTTGTCATACTCTAGAAATGCTTCCATGAAAGTGCAGAACTCACAGATTTACTCTGGTCCCTGTCGGTGCGGTGTGTGGAAGTAACTTTTCTGGGCTGATAGGAGATTTCAAGCCCATCCAAGCTGGGGGCAGCTGCATGGAGAGAAGAGCATCCGGCTTCTTGCAGTCCCCCACTGAGCTCTGGGGGCAGGAAGGAGCTGTCACACTGAATGAAATGTGAGCATTCAGGGTATGGGTGTTTTATGATGACTGTGGGAAAACTTGGCGAACTCCATCCTTCTAATCTTATAAAAATCAAAGGAAAGATATCCAGAAAGTAGGAACTGCCCAGTCACCTGAGGATGACCTCGGAGGAAGACTATTGGCTGGAACTCTCTTCGTGTGTCACTACAGTATAACAAGGAGCTGGGCGCTAGTGGCACACACCTGTAATCCTGAGAGGCTGAGATCGGGAGGCTTGAAAGGCCAGATAGCTGGACACAGCAGTACCTGCCTGTTATCCTGTCTGACACAGGAGGCAGGAAATGAGACCGATCTAAAAAATTAATCAGCAAAATATACTCAGGGCTGGGTAAAATGGTAAAAATGCCTGCCTAGCAGATGTGAGGATCTCAATTCAAATCCTACTACCCTCGAAAAACAAAAATGGAAAAGGGAAAACTGACTAACTTGAAAGAGGTTATAGAACTAAAATAACTTTGTTTACAATATTTTTTAAAAAAAGGCTTTTAAAATTTTAGCTTAATTTCACTTTGGCAAGAAGATAAAAATGATTTGTATTAAAATGTTTGATTCTTGTGCTTTTTTCTTGCCCAGAATTACAGCCAGGTGCTTCTTCACTGCCTCTTGATTTTGTATTTTTTTTTTTTTTTGCCTAGGAATCTTTTTTTTTAATTTTATTTTATTTTATTTTATTTGTGAAGATACTGTACAGAGGGGTTACAATTACATGGGCAGGATAATGCATACTGTATTTTTTTAAAAAGAGATAAGATCTCACTATATTGTCCAGGTTGATTCTAAACCCCTGGGCTCAACCACCTTTAGCCTTCTGAGTGGCTGGGACTAAAGGAGCCTGGCACTGTGCCTGGCTATAGCTCCATACATTTTAAGGTGGATGGTGGGTTGCTGTACCACACTCTTCCTCGTTCCTCAGGTGGAAGAATAGTATTAAATGACGGCGGAGGCCACCATGGTGTCCAAAAGAGAACCCGGAATCACCTTTCTCCCAGCTTCTCTGGAAGGTTAAACAATTACTCGTCTTTGTGGCTTTGTGATATTTGAGTCTGTTAATTTGAAGATCCAGATGAAAATAAAATCCCCAACTCCAAGAAAGCTTTCATGTTCTAGGAGTTAAAATGAGTAGTTCAGTTTCTACCACACATAAACTGTACTACTACTGATGTTCCTATGAGTAAATATATTTTTAAGGTAAAATTAAGAAGATTCTCTGGTAACCTAAGCAAGATGTTTGCGACGCACATACAGTTTTAAAGGTAAAGAGCTGTGGGTGAGCTCTAGTGCTCCTTAGCAAAGGGAGCTTAAAGATCCATTTGGCTTCTGTACTTGGCAAGGCATTTGTTCAGTGTTGGCCTTGCTACCTCCTTGAATATGTCAGTCACTCTTTCT